GCTTACAACAATACTCCCATCCAGCCCATTCCCAGGGATGGATCACAGGATGTGCATGGCGGTATGGACATTTCGCAAACGGCCGGACCAAGGGGCCAGTTATTATAAATTAAACACATCCCTATTAAAGATTAAATCATTCACACAATATCTCCAGCAAACCTGGGATTATTGGAAAGACTACCGCCCCCAACATGACTCACAAATTGATTGGTTCAATAATGGTCTGTTCTTCATGGCCAAGAAATGTAACGAATACTCTAAACATCTGGCCGCCCAAAGACACCAGCAAGAGGTCACAATTATGCACGACTTGGTAAACGTAGAACAAGAACAAAATCTGTTATCTTCGCATGGGCAGGAGCACCGGATAAATGACTTACAAACCCATATCCAACAATTAAAAGATCAGCTTTTTAAACATGCTCAATACAGATGGCAGGGTGCCCAAACAAGGGCAAGGCTATCCAAATTCTCTAATGAAGGGACAATGAATTCGCATTTTTTTTGCCTGGCTAAAACACGCTGCCAACGAACCACGATCGAAGCTTTGTATGAGCCTAACGCTAGGGACTCACACCCGGCTATATCCACAACACGATGCACTAAGATAACCTATGATTTTTATAAGGAGCTTTTCTCCTCACATCTGGATAAGTCAGATGCTCTTCGGCATAACCAACTAACCCAGGATTTTTTAGACCCGCTTAAAAAAGCCTTAACAATTCAACAACAGAAATCACTAGAAGCCCCACTCTAAAAAAATGAGATATGGTCCGCACTTTTACAAATGAAGGAGGAAAAGGCCCCCGGGGTAGATGGCTTCCCCAAGGAATTCTGGGAGACCACTTGGGACTTTATGAGCCACGACATCATGGACTTTTACAGGGAGGTTTGGCAGATGGGGGAAATGGGGGAAAGGGTGGGCCAAGGACTATTACCCCCCCTATATAAAAAGGGGGATAAGATGGACATTAGGAATTACAGACCCATAACACTCCTCACAGTCGTGTATAAAATGTTGTCAAAAGCTCTGGCTAATCGGATGATCCCAATTATGGAGGACATCATCCATCCTGATCAAACTGGTTTCATGCAAAATAGGAACATACAGGAAAATATCCTACTACTACACGAGATAATCCAGCTCACAAGACAGTCTCGCCAGAACGCAGCTCTGGTATTTATTGACTTCGAAAAAGCAAACGACCATATGGATTGGTTATTTCTGGACAAGTGCCTGGAAAAGATGAACTTTGGACCGCACTTCAGACGTTGGATACGAATCCTGCACCAGAATGCCACCACATGTGTGCAAGTCAATGGAAGTTTGGCGCCGCCTCTGCGCTTGGAACGATCAGTTAGACAAGGGGACCCTATCGCCCCCTTCCTCTTCCTTATTATTATGGAAGCACTGGCAGCCAATCTCCGGGCAAACAAGAATCTCACTAAAATCTGAGTTACAAGCATCCCGGAAGAAGCCATCCCGGTGTGTTCCCTCTTTGCGGACGACCTTACAACTATTACAGAGGTCACACACCATAATATGAAAGAAATCCAGAGCATGATGGAGAAATTTGCCAACGTTTCGGACATGTCTGTCAACTGGGGATCTAAAACACAAGGATGGTGGATCCACTATCAAGGTGGGTGCCCCCCAGAAGCACCGCATATCGCCTGGATGCCGCTGGAAGCCCCAATGAGAGTCTTGGGAGTGTCCATGACGGCAGAAGGGAGGCCACCCACTAATGACGAATGGATCAGCACTCCGGCGCAGCACAAGTTGAACAACTGGAAAAACCGACATACCTCCCTCTTTGGTCGGGCCTTGGTTCTCAATAACGTGGTCCTCGCATCCCTATGGTATAAGTCATTGCTTTGGCCATTGAGTAGAACCACCCTCAAAACCCTAAAACACAAGGCCGCAACCTTTTTGTGGAGGGGAGATGGGGAGCTTGCTGACGTAATCAGCAGGGTGGCCTGGGACTCCATCATTCAACCAAAGGCGAAGGGAGGTTTGGGGATTTTAGACCCGGCCACACAGGTGCAAGCGCTACAAGTCAAATGGATTAAGAAACTTATCTTCACCCCTCAAACGCCATGGTGTGCTTTGGCCCTGGAACATCTAGCACGTCTAGCTCCGGCAGCTCCTGGGGTAGTTCATCCACTTACGTGGCTAGAAGATCGCTTCTGGACAGTCCCACGCAAACTCCCGAGTGGCAGGATAGGATCAAAAGCAGGAGGGGGTCAGTCACTAGACAGTTTATGGCCATCCTGGCTAAAAACCTGGCGAAGACTCCCGCTCCCAGATAGGATCCAGCCCGATCGATGGGAGGAAATCTATCGCCAACCCCTCTTTGGAAACCGGTGGATAACGAACACAGAGGGCCGTGTGAGGATTAGCTCAGATTCGCCTTGGAAGAACTGGGTTAAACACGACATTCTTAGGGTTGGGGATCTCTGGGACATTGAGAGGAGAACGTGGAAGTAAAAAAACCAGATGCGGGAAGCCTTAGGGTACTGCCACCAGGTAGAAGAGTCTATGAATAACCTTATTGAAACTATTCCACTTGAATGGTATCGGATCTTGAGGAGAGGCCCCATTTTGAAGGAGGGTGATTGGGTAAGGACCCCAGAGAGTCCACACCGGCTTGGTCTTATCCACATGGTCTCTCCCCAAATGGTTCTGATTGAACACCACATCATCACAGGCACAAATACGCTTCAGGCAAGCGACATACCCCTGACATGGCTACATAAGGCAATGGTTAACCGTGTGAGAGTCATAGAAGAAAAGGGGCAGAGGGTGGCCTTCCAGCTAGACAAACCAATCCAGGATTTGGCCTTGGATCCGGCGGAATGGATATGGCAGGCTCCTGGGAAGAGGGGGGTGCCTGAAGCAAGACATATTAGTTTGCATTGACTAACGGCCAAATCTGCATATAAAATGCTCCGACCCAAACGCCACCTAAGAGATATAATAAATGAACGATGGGCCAGACACCTGAATATTGACCGTTCTCTTTTGACTCCAATTCAATGGTTCAAAGAACAAAAGCACAAGCCAATGAAAATTACCTCACTTCAGTGGCAGATAACTCACCGTTGCCTGCCAACCAATAACTGGCTAATCAATCGGACAAATCTCGAACAGAAAGGCCTACTTCTCCCGTGGTGTCAGCGATGCCTGAATCTTTACCCCTTCCACAAGAAGGCCGAGACCATTGAGCATATTTTTATGCAGTGTCCGATTGCCCAATTCACATGGAGATGGTGGGAACGGGTCTGGCGAAAGATGGAGCATGATGCTCCCTGGCCATGGTCATGGCAGGCTATTTTGGCTGGACAATGGCCCCAGGCAGACACAAGTACGCCCTTTACGGAGAATATGTATAGAGTGGGTAGGAGGGCGGTGATGTGGGCGCTGTGGTGGCAAAGATGCACTTTGACCATGGAAAAGGTTCGGGTGGAGGTTGAGGAAATTACAGAACAAATTCAGCAGCAATTACACCTTCAGCTCACACGCAGGTGGTTAGACACAAAGGAACAATTGGATCTTTTTAAACAGCAAAGGGACGTCAGAAGAAAGATTATGGATTTTTGCAAGGACTGGGTAGGGGGGGAAAGGGAGGGTTGGATTGCAAAGGTGGTGTGGAGTGGGGATCAGGAGGGAGGCATAAGGGACCTAGAGGAAGTAAGGGACTATAGGCTGGTTTTCAACAATTGGACTAACATTGAGGCCTCATTCCCATTATGCCCCCCCACAGATTTCCCAGACCCCTTCCCACCCCACGCCCTATCACTGGCTGAAATCCCACCCTAAATGGGACATCTGTCCTCCCCCCCCCCCCCCGTCCACGTGAGGAACCCCTCCCTGGTGCCCCCCAGGAAGGTTCCTGTTTGTCTATTCTATCTGTCTCCCCCCCACTGACGCAACTGAGGAGGACAATTGACAAGCTGAGGAGGACAATTGACAAGCTGGGCCTGGAATATAGAGCTTCTACACAAGTATCAGGGCTCAACAGGCTTATTTGGCGCCCTATGCAGAAGGGTGAAGAGATGCGAGAGTCAAAGCAAGCTTCAGGAACAGCTGCTGCAAGGGGAATAGACAAACGGATTACTCCTCAAAGGGATTTTCTTATGAGCTTCCTTATGGGTTTTGGGGGGTTTGGGGACTATCTTATGACTTTCTTTCTCATGACTTTCTTAACTTTTCTTATGAGTCTTGGGGATTTTCACGAAGTCCTGCTCAGTCAATCCCCTGGGATCAAGGGTAATCAATGCTGGCAGGCATCCTTCTCAGCTCTTGCTCAACTCTTTTCTCAATTCTTGTACAAGGGACGCTGGACCCGCTTTCCAGCAGGTGACACTCCCCACCAATAGATGGAGTCCCCCCCTGCCAGTGGTGTATGCTCTTACCAGCATCACTAGCATCGTGGGAGGTGTTTAAAAAAAAAAAAAAAAAAAAAAAAAAAAAAAAAAAAAAAANAAAAAAAAAAAAAAAAAAAAAAATGTCAAAGCATTCCTGCCCATGTTGAGGGGCAAATCGGGAAATACGACATCTGTAAGGGGTAAACCCCAACTTTCCCACAAACGAAAGACAAATTTCCTTTCTATGATAGAACAAATTGAACAATGCAAGACAGAAATCCACTTCCGAGAAGAAAAATACCGTACAACCAAATTCCACCTGTCAAGGATCTCTGTCAAAGCAACCCTGCACAGCCGGCGCGCAGGGATAGATGACTGTCCCAGAGCAGAACCCCACCTTAAAAGAAAGAAAGAAAGAAAATGAGAGCAGACCCCCACCGGCATTGGGCGACAACATACTTGAGGAGGAAGGGGCCAACAAGAGAGATGGCGCCATACGGAATGAAGGTCAATAGATCAAATCCAAGCTATGCAGCAACAAGAATCGCTGTATTTGGAGCAAATTTCAGTCCAGATGCAGAGATAATGGCTGTATGTTCTATTCGGGTAAAGATGGTAGCAATTGTTACCTTTCCTTGTGCGCCGTCACGCGCATCTGGATGTTCTGTAAATGTTACAATGTTGCTCTTTTTCGTGAACGTGGAACAGTCCACATCCTCAGCCGGCCTTGATGCCAAACGGATTTGGCTGAGAGGAACTAGACCTTCATCTGCATCACCAAATCCATTGTACTGAACTTTGCATTTGTTTCCATCTCGCTCCAATATCGATACATCCCACCATGATCCTCCCCAGTGTGCCTCAAACCCTGCCCAAGCGCATATACATGGAACACAAACCATTCCCCGTTTTGAGTGCCGCTTTCACACACACACACACACACACACACACACACACACACACACACACACGAACACAAGCACACATACTTGTATGCATACACATGCATGAATGCACCCAACAAGCCACAGAAAACGAAACAAGGAGAACCATACCCCCGAACAAAGAACTGTCAGCCTAACATACTGTTGACACAATGCAATGCCATAAATAAATACCTGTCATTAGGCACTACGCATTACCAGCCCTAAGACTGACATAACTGAGACACACGATCTTTATACTGACCCCCTCGCAAGAGCCCTAATGGCCCGTGCCCGTGCCCGTGCCCGTGCCCCAAGGGTATCCAGCGTGCTCCAAGGCCGAGGGGTCGGGTTTCCTTGAGCAGGCGGCCTTTTTCCACCGCTGAACCAGGCCTGGCCGTGTGACCGGGCCGTCCCTTTTTGCAGCGTGCGACCCCTGCACGACATGTCACGAACGGCCTTTCAGCCAATAGGAAAGCAGGCAGCAGCGATGATGACGTCCCCCAGGACCAGGACCAGGCCTGATTTGAAGCTACTGGGCCCCAGGTCGCGCCAACACTTTCCATAAAGAAAAGTGCCCTGTGCCAAGCCAGGCATTCTGGCCATGGGCATTCTGCGCTCATGCTGCTCGACTGGGTGCTGGCCAGTGATCGCGCACACGGACGCTGAGGAGGGTGCTGCTTGCATGCACTGCGCGAGGCACCCATAGCCACGATGGCCTCGCATGATGTCGGTGGTGGTGATGGTTTTTCTTGGAAAGGGAGATGACTGACTGTGGGGGTCGGGAGTGGGGTGTAGAGCGAGAAGGGACATGTACCTGATGTGTATGCGGTGGTCTGCATTGGCGACTTTGTCATGTACATTGGTCTTCGGCTGGAGGGATTCCTGGTTGCATCTTCAGAGTGTAGGCTAGTATAGGCACTGATTAGTTGTAGGTTGAGCGCTGAGCGCCAAGAGAGAAGAGCGACATTGGATGCATTGTTGATGGTGGCGAGTTGGGGCTGACATTGACACTTGAGTTCATGCATTGCTCTTATTTGGCTTGTATCTCGGTACATACTACTTTCTGCTTGGTACACGACTATCTGGTCTTCAATGTGATGTTGTAATTTGGTTTTCTGTCTATCGCTCGCACTCATTTTCCTCGCAATTTGGTATCGCAGCTGGTTCATATATCGCCTCACCGGCGCTGATGTTTGGGTCACTTGGTGGGTTGAGCGGAGTTCACCGCAGTGAGGTTACTTGGACGCTGGTTTGGGTTGTCGTCCGATTCTGGGTAGAGAGGATTGGGCTGGAAGGCTCTAGTATTAGCGGGCATATGTGGGATGATGAGAGCATGCTGATCTGGCATTTATGGTGAGGTGGCACTACATTGCATTGTCGTTGGTGCCGAGGCAACGACCGGTCATCAAAATGCACGTTGGCTCAATTCGTGAGAAATCTGTGGTTGGAGGGCTATCCGAAGGTATGTTGCTCCGGACCTTATACTCATTTCTCTTACCGTGAGGAAGAGACTCCTGTCTTGAGAGTCCTCTCTTGGTAAAGGGATCGTGAGCGCTCTACCCTGAGAGACGACATTCTTCCTGGTGGAGTATCTGGTGGGAGGGGGTGGTGCCTCTGAAAGGGCCCTGGACGAAGCATGGGTCACGGTCACCAAGCCAACCCCTGGGAGTAGAGCACGCATGCTTTGCTGATTGTCCTTTGAGCTCTTGCTGTGCATAGAGGCCAGCCCTATGGGCAGACAGCAATAGTGGAGTACCGCAGCTGTCTAACATTTCCAGTTCTATGCTTTGCTGACTGTTCCAGAACTAGTCAAAATAGAGATAGGATCATTTGCAGAGTCTGTGCATTTGCTGTTCACATCACCTGAAGTGCTTTCTGAGTTTCAAACCGAATATTTATTTATTTATTTTTCATCTTGGTCAGACACCATACTCTGGCAGGTCCCAGTGAGGAAACTAGTGCAGACCGTGAGCTTCTATAGCTGATGAGTGGAACTGGTAGTCAGGAAGAGACAGCTAACGAGGGGATTTTGACTCGGAGGGAGCTCGTCGGAGGCACTGTCGTGTATCAGGTTCTACCACCTGGCGCTGACAAGGCAGCGGCATGCAGAAAGTGGTGTTCAGCGTAGGCGTAGGGCACGGGAAGTTGCTGCAGAATCTGAGCGGCCAGAAACAGTAGCTACAGAAGTTGCAGACGCAATCGCATCCGCAGCATCAACCTCCATGCAAGCTCAGCCAACGCGAAGCACCCAGGATGTATCACAGACGACTTCCGTAGGCATGAGCACGGGTCCATCCTCAAGTTCCACCCTACTAGACGGCTGACTCGCAGTTCAGCCAGCCAGCCTAGCTAACTAGGGAGGATCTAGAGATCCAAGAGGCCGCGAATATCCGCCTTCGGCTAAAAGCTGAACTCAGGGATGCAGCATACAGAGGAAAGAGAGCTAGGAATAGAAAAGCTAGATTGGAGAACAGGGACGCCAAGCGGGCTACCATAGAGGGACTAGATGAGTCTGTCCTGGATGATACCCCGCACGCCCTAAAAGTCGGAATGCTGCAGCAACTCCCCTCGCCCTACGCCTACACAGCTGTACAGGATAGCCGGATGGACGACATACGGTCCACTTTGGACCAGATACCTAGAGCTCTTCGTGGTTTGGGAAGCCCACTCCCTTCCACAACGGCTGGACCTAGTATTAGGCTGCAGGCTGCAGTCCCGCTGTCGTCCACTTTGCCGGCGACGGTAGGGTCCTTCGTTCCCGAGTTAAGCATGCCTTTGCCAGGTGGAAACTTACCAGTAGGTGCACAGACTCAGGCTTCTTCTTCATCACAGCAAGCTGTTGTAGCTGCAAGATAACAGCCGATCCAGCAGCCTTTGCAGCCGCAGGGACAGGGTGCCAGGTCACAGCCACAATGGGCCCTAAGACTATGTTGGCACCTCCAGAGCCATTTACCGGAGACAAGAAGAACAGGATCTTGAAACAGTGCCGACATACGTTAGGGCCAAGTTGGCGCGTCTCGATCAGGAAGTAATCATTGCTGCAGCGTGCAACAGGCACCAGTTTATGGGAGGAAGAAGAAGATTCCACAGGATTGAAAAAAAAAGGGTCGCCTCATGTTCATCGATTCAGATGGGAATCAGGAGGAGACAGACGATACATCCGATCTAGAGGGAGAGACAGTATCTGGACGGTGGGGATAGTTCAGAGGGAGGAACGCTTGCCGCGGCCACTACAAAGACTAAGGCGGCTGGTAAGGGTAAGGCGGGTCAGCCTATGAACCAAGGGAAGGACCAAGTCTCACCCAATGCACTGCTTTGGGCGAAAGTTGGTTTGATCAGCACGTGTGGCGGGACAGGTATGTTCGCGGGGCATGCATCAATTGTGGCCAGTATGGTCGCACACACGCCAAGTGCAAGAGGAAAAAGGTTACCAAGAAGATACCACCCGTAGTGGGTGGTGGCCCATCTTCTGCCCAGGGAAACACTTTTGTGAGTTCGTCCTAGGGAAACATGTCAGGCCAGTAGAAGTTACAGCTGCTTCTACTCAGGCTGAAGTGGTTGATGCTCCCTCACCACTTCAGGAGATGGCCAAGGCTATTGCCTCCTTTGTCACCCAGCAGACGAGTCTGGACCAAACGATGCTCTGTTCGTTATACATGTCTGAGGCCTTGAGAGGACCTTGAAAGAGAGTGGTTAGAGAAGGACCCTCGCGAGTCCTGGGTGGCGATGGCAAAGAGTCCCGGAGGGAGCACTTCATAGTGGAAGTTAATGTGGGAAGCTGCAAGTGTGTTGCCTTCGCAGACATTGACTCCACCAGGAATTTCATTAGCCGCGCTTGTGTTGAAAGGTTGTGCCTAGGGGACCGAGTGCAGTGGCTTAGCAGGGTTGTAGCCTCTACCTTAGCAAATAAGGAGCGCATGGTCGTACACGACTACGTTAAGGACGTGGTCTGTACCTTCCCCTATGGAGGAGGGGAACGTAATCATATGATTTTGTTTCTGGCCAGTGACGACTTACCATTTGACATAGACAAGATAGCATAGAACTTAGTGCTCTATGGGCCGGGCAAGGAGAGAGAGGGAGGTCTCACCGGTGCCCCCCTGTCCCTCCGGAATCCGAACCTGGCCACGGGTTAAGGAAAGGGGATAGGGACTGCTAGCCTATAGTGCATGAGCTGGCATCCGGAGACATATGAGGAGGAAGTCCCTCCCCTTTTTTTCCCCGGGTTAGCCTCGTCTAAGCCATGGGGCACTGGACCCGGTTTCCGGCCTAGTGATTTTTGTTTTCTTTGAGGCTTCTACACACAAAGTTTGTTCTCTGATGGGATCACGCCCCAGACGCTTTTCTTATACTCTCTATATGTTGCAGTTCATAAGGGACGCTGAGCTCGGTTCAAAGCACGTGACGCTCCCACAAATAGATAAGAGCCTTGTTGTTTAAAAAAGAAAAAGAAAAAAAAAAAAGACTTACCATTTGACATGTTGTTAGGTATATACTACTTTGAGTTGCTCAGCCCCAGTTTGACAGGGACCGAAAGATGCTTAAGCATGTGTTGCTTGGTGGGAGGACCGTTAGACTTGCAACATATCGTGCAAGCAAGCTAGTGGATTCTTATGGCTGCATGTGCGCACACACGTTTTATAATTATTATAAACAAAACCAAGAGGACAGTATGTATGTAGTCTTTGTCTCTAAGAAAGGGGAGGCCATAAAAACATTCCCAAAGATAGAAGCCATTGTTGCTAGGTATACAGTCCTTTTCGAGGAGCCTTCAAGGGTCGTGGAAAGAGAAGTCGTCCACGCAATAGAAATCATTCCTGGAAGCAAAGTGCCTAAGGAAGAATCTATAGGATGGCTCCTGCGGAGTTGGATGAGCTCCGCCGACAATTGAAAGAGCTAATAGAGAAGGGATGGATTCGACCTATACATCTCCCTACAGTGC